AGAGAGAGAGAGAGAGAGAGAGAGAGAGAGAGCAATGCGGCCCCCCAAATAGATTCGAATCTTTGCGTCAATTTCTGGCCGCGCACAGAGAACGGCGCAAATCTCGATCTCCCTTCTCACCTGACCACCACCTCTACGATTTCCCTGTCCAAGAGCGGCAAAACGCTGCTGCTGCTGCTGCTGCTGCTGCTGCTGCTGCTGCTCGATGCGTCGACAGACTCGTAGCGCGAAAGCTCATCGCTCAGCCGTCGTCTCATATCCGCACCGAGCGATGCGAGCAGGCTCTTTCTGCCAAAGTCCAACGCGTCTGCGTCTCCTTGTAGGAGCGCAACATGCATGGTGCACGCACTCTCTTTCTCGTCGCGTGTCGACGAGGCGTCTTGATCCTTGCATGGCGCTGAGAGCATCAAGGCTGGCGAGCTGGAGCTGGAGGTGACGCTGGAGGTTACGCTTGGCGGCCTGGTCGTAGGTGTCAAAAAGGGCGAGGGCGCCGCAAGAGTGTTGCCGAAAGATTTCTCTTTCTCTTTCCATCCTCCCGTCTCTTGCCCATCCTTCGCATCACGCTGCACGAGACTCGCATCCAATCGAGTCTTGAACAAGCTCGACATGGGCGCCAAAGTCCTATTCTCCTTTGTGCGCAGTGGAGTGTCGAACCCAACGACGCTCGTCGGCGATCCCGTAGTCTCCCTGTCCGCACCCACAGGTCGGGCTTGCGCTTCTGAGGAGGCAGCAGCAAAGCGTAAGCCGAGAGACCTTGGAGCTTCTTGCAGCGCAAAACGAGGATAAGGGGGCGCAGAAGTGCAGGCGGTGGGTAGAGGAGGCAGACTGGCCACGAAAGATCTGTTGGTAAGAGTAACATCAGCAGTGACGCAGGAGAGGTAACAAGGCCAACTCGAGAGTGCTCCCCTTGCATATCCTCCCCGCTCGCTAAAAGAAGCGGCTACTCACTCCATCTCATCCCCGTGCAAAATCCCTCTGATGCCAGGCGAGTCCTCTCTGTTCAAAAAGGAGCGCACTTCCAAGCTGTTCGTGGGGCGAAGCAGCCCGGCAGCCGGCTTCATCGTCCGAAGCCAACTTCCTCTCAAGCCCGACAAGCTCACAAATTCCACACTGCCATTCCCACTGCCATCCTCATGTCCATGTCCATCCTTTCCCATCGTGCCGCCGCTTCTCATCTCTTTCGAATCCGCGTCATAAGCGCCATCCGCGCCATCCGTACCCTTGCACTCCGCAGCTGGTTGGAGCGGATGAGCGAGCAGGATAATGTGCTCCAACGCCAGATCCAAGAGTTTCCCATGCGCTCGAGAGCTGATGGTCTTGTTGGAGAGCAAAAGGATAGCCTGGGAAGAGGCAACCATGGGCAAGCTCAATCAGCCGGCATATCCCTTTCGCAGAGCCGATCGGAGAAGCGGCGCGGCGCGCGCAAATGGCCGCTAGCTAGCACTCGGAGGGGGGGAAAGAGGGTCGAAAACAGTCCCACGCCAGGCATCTGCGAGAACTCACTCGTCGAGTACACAACAGTCTAGTCAGGCTTCTCCAACACTTTTCTTCATCTCCGCTCGTCCTGTCCCCATCGCCTCGTGCAAGCGTCGGCCTCGCATCGACGCTCTGCGCCTTTTCCTGCTGCTCATCCCATTCCCACTGGCTCCTCTGCCTCTTTACACTTTTCCCAGTCCCCCCTTTACGGCCCAACAACAACGACGACGACGACGACGACGACGACGGTTGCGTCTCTTTTTGCACCTTGCCATCCACATTTCCCCTCGGCATGCTTCCTGCACAAGCCCAGATTCGTCCAACAATCGCACACCCAACCCCATCCCGCCGCACTCCCAAAGCGCTCAACCGTCGCACCACTTCTCCCCACTCTTCACTTTCCCCTCCCCCGCTTCCTTCGTGCTCGGCAGCAGCTGGTGCGCTGGATGTGCACGGCTCGAGCAGGTCGATGCTGAAAGAAGCGGGTCGAGGAAGCGCGCGAGGTGTGCACGTGCTGCTTTGCGCCAGACGGTCCAGCGTCGTTGCTTGCGCATCGGAAAAAGGCGCCAAAGTCGTCAAAGCGTGCGAAGAAGCTGCTGCGGACACATCTTGCGCCCTTTTCCCCCGCCACGCCAGCTCTTTCACCGCGTCCGTGTCCGCGTCCGCGCCCGCGCTGGCCGTCGCAAGACGTTTGGACGACGATGCCATCCTCTTTGACGTCTGCGCAGAAGCCTGATCAGCAGAGTCGGCTGGTCGACGCTGCGCATCCGCAGGAGCAGCAGGAGGAGATGCGTTCGAGCCAGCAGCAGGTGCGGGTGCGGGTGCGGGTGCGTGTGCGTGTGCAGAAGCAGGTGCAGAAGCAGGTGCGACAAGACCAATCCTAGAAGGACGACGTTTTCTAGGTTCGTACCTCAACACGCCTACGCTCGTGCCCGTGCCCGTGCTCGTGCGCGATGCTGACGCGTGAATGCCCATCGATGCAGCTCTGAACTCGGAGGCCGAACTCGCCTGCGAGTTGCCACTGGCGCTGGACGGTGCGCGCTTCCTCTGAGCC